GCTGCGGTGAGACTGAAAATGTGGTCCAACAAGTCGGAAAATTGCCCCTGAAACCATAACTTGCCAAAATGGCTAAGTATATGGGTCTTGATGTAGTTGGCCGACAAGATCTTGACCCGCTGGAAATTTGGTTCTTGGATGTGGCCAAAGACCAGCGCATTTCGCTGGAGTCAAAGCATGCGCAGGACAACACTTCGGGTGATGTGAAAAAGAGTCTTGATGTCTTCATGGGCTTTAAGTGGCGCTTCAGGGGTAGGGCCATGTAGGAGCCGAAGACAATTTGTTCCCAAGTGATGGGATGCTTGACCAAACTCGCAATCCTTGAAGTAAAAATGTCCAAGTTGTTGGGCTTCAGGGCATAGCCAAAACAAGTGTTGCGCAGTTTCCAGGGAGCGGCGGCCGATCGGGAACTGGGAATGGCGGTCCGGGTTCCATTGATGCTTGTAGCCGAAAGACAGCGCGTTGTGTTGTAGTCGGAACTTCACGTCGGCGAAGACAGGCACTAAAATCCTGTCTTGCTTGAGTTCGAACTTCCAGACCGACAACAGCGGCGGCTCTGGAAGGGACAGTCGCGTCCATAGCGTCTGGCGGTGGAGCTTTTTTCATAAGGAGTGAGAAAAGGTGCTAGTCCTTCAAGGACTTCAGTGGCAGGGGGTCTTGTACTTAAGGGACAGTAATTCGCCAAGACAATGTCGGAGCCAGCACTTGACGCGGTATGGTTGCGATCAAGTCTTCTCGCCAAGAGCTGAGTCGAGGGAGTTTGGCCAGAAGTTGTCGTGCTGAAGTCTTGTAGCTTGTAATTTCGCTTGCCCGCAGGGATTCAGAAAGACTTGCTTCTGTGGGATTGCCGTTGAAGTGCCGGTGAAAATCCGCCATGGATAAAAGTCCATACGACACGTAGAGCTCGAGACCCGGCTTGCCGCAAGAAGGTTGACACTTTAAATGGTGTTCGCTAGTCTTGCGTCGAGCCAGAGAGGTGTGTGAAGCTTGGAATAGTCGTCTTGGACGTTGAGTCTTCGGGGGGCAATGTAGTCATGCCAAGTACACAGGAGTTAGACGGCCCCTAAGTAGAAATAGGCGAAAGGTTGACCAGAAACGACCAAGTGAGAGCAGACGACTCGGTGCTTCGTGCTTGTCTTGGAATGGGAAGGAAAAGAATATCCAGGCCATGGCCAGCGGGCGACACAACTTGGTGCATGAGGTCGACAATGGGATCCAACCAAGGCAAAACGATAGTTGACGCGCCTTGGTGAGCGAGAACCTTGACCATGGTGCGTAGCCGGAGCAGGTAGCAATATTTGGCATGCCTAGGCCGCCATGAGAGCGCGGTCGGTGCAGCCAAGTCTTAAGAAGGTGGTTTGCGACGAGCCCTTGCTTGTGGAGTCGGCCATACACGAAGTCGAGGGCAATGTCTTCAATTTCCGACACCACCGAGTCGGGGGCGTGGCAAGTCACTGCAGTATACCACAGCAGGGGAAGCACCATGGTCTGCAAAATGACCACACGGCCATGTAAAGTTCTTGAACGGTACTTCCAGAGGTTGCAGTTACTTAAAATTGCTTGAACGATGGCGCGATACCGGTCTTCATCGGTGATGTCCGGTCCTACTTGGATTCCAAGCCAGCGATATTTTTCAGTGCGCTGAATAAACTTGGGACCTTGTAGTTAATGAACAGTAGCAACAAGGTTTTCAGGGTATGTTGGCCAGAAAAGGATCACAATTGTCTTGCTGACGTGAGCTTCATCACGGTAGCAGAGCAAAACTCTTGAACACACGCCAGAAAAATTGCTGAGTCTTCCAGGGAATGCAGCAGGCCCGTGACGTCGTCGGTAAAGGCAATCGTTAGATGTCGATGAGTCGGCGTTGAGATGCCCAAGTGGGAGAGCTTGACTCGCAAATATACCAGTAAAGGTTCAATTAATAGCACAAAAAATGCTGGCGAGATCGAATCCCCTTGGCGTACGCCGCTGCCCAGCACAAA